ACGGTGAGCGCGCACGCTCATCCTCAGCGTTGAGCAGAGTGAGTAGCAAAGACCAAGCAGAGAAGCAGTAGTAGGGGGAAGAGAAGGATGAAGGAGCAACTGAACAAGTTAGGAAGAGTTTAACTTTTCTAATGTCTTTTATATGTATTTGCTTTTAACTCCTACTGGATTAATGATCATAGAAACGATCCGAGGGCTGGAGCACTTCTATGGAGACAGGCTAAGAGAGTTGGGGTTGTTCAGCCTGGAGGAGAGAAGGCTCTGGGGAGACCTTCTAGCAGCCTTCCAGTACCTAAAGGGGCTTCAAGAAAGACGAGGTCATACTTTTTTGTAGGGCCTGTAATGATAGGACAAGGGGTGATGTTTTAAACTAAAAGAGGGGAGATTCAGACTAGATCAAACGAAGACGTTTTTTACAATTAAGGTGGTGAAACACTGGCACAGGTTGCACAGAGGAGTCGTGGCTGCCCCATCTCTGGAAGCGGCCCACATCAGGTTGGACAGAGCTCTGAGCAGCCTGATCTAGTTGAAGATGTCCCTGCTCACTGCAGGGGGGTTAGACCAGATGACTTTTAAAGGTCCCTTCCAACCCAAACCATTCTGTGATTCTAATCAAAACGCTTCTGCAACTCTGTTCCTTCCCCAGCATAAATTGTGTAACTCTACTCCCATAGGCTTCGTAGTGTCACGAGGATGCTCAGCAGCACACTCATCATCCTCCAGCCAATATACAGAAACAGGAGGCAGGAAAATACTTCTCACGGTCACCAAATCCAGCCCTTCGCTAAAGCTGGATGACTGCACAACGAAGCGCAATGCTTTGCTTTAAAAGCAGTTACATTTTCAGCCTGTGCCATCACCTCTGCGAGACCTTTCCAAAGGCACCCTGCTCCTGGATTTCAGTGCTCTGACACCACAAACTTTCTTCTAATCTCAATTCTTTCCCACCTAAATTTATTCATCCAGCTGACATTCTTCTGTGCCTTAACCCTCTCCCTGGGCTTTACCTTATCATTCATATTGGTCTTTGTTTGGCTCATCTGGACGAATAACACTCTGACTTTCTTTTCTGAACACAAACACTACCTTCTCCAGCTCTCCCAGCAGTCCCCCTCCGCACCTCATCTGCTGCTATGGACCATGGGTGACCTGAGGAGCGTTTCAGACTTTTGACAGGGACTCTGTAATGGTATCAAAACCACCTTGAGTCTCCTGCACATCATAAAAACGTAAGGAAGAGAAAAAGTTCATTATAGAGCTCTCAGTCACAGAGCTGAAGGGACTTTGAGGGCAATTTAGCTCATCTCTCAGCCCCAAGCAGGACTCTTTCTCCTCCTCTGCCCTTTCCAACTAATGAACCCTTAGTGTGCAGCAGAAACTCTCATTACGAGTCCCTGGGGGCATGATCTTTCCCTTTCCATGGGATTTTTATTTTTATTTCATTCCTCAAGGTCACACGTCTTCCTCCTTTCTGCTCTCCTGATCCCGAGGTGAACCATGAGGAGCTCGTACACCGGTGTCACTGGTGCTCAAAGAGCCCCAAACAGGCAGCCGGTGCCATCCCCCAGCGAGCGACAGCCGACCTTGGCCACCTCGATACCTAAAATCCAGTGTTATTTCGCAGGGATGAGTCTGACCCTCATGCTGCAGTGAATTTTTCAATCTATTTGATGTACTATGGATAGCTGGGGTCAGAGGACATACTTCTGAGCTCCTTCCTTCCCTCGTCAACCTGCGCAGAAAAGCTGAGCGTTAGTAAAAAACTGATGATAGTTCACTGCATGGGGAACTTTGTTTCTATTAACCATGCAAAGCAAGGAAATAGAGTTTCTGTAACGATGCATCCAAAATTTGTCAGGCAGTTGCAAGCTAATTTGGAATGAATTAAGCACAAGATCATCTTCCTGCAGCTAATCTTGACCTTAAATCTAAAAGGGGGAAAAAAAAAAGGTCTATTGTCCATCAAAACCAGCCATTTTCCTGAGACAAGCTGCAGTTAATAACAGCAAAAACCAGCATAAAGAATCGAGTCCTGCAAATTTATTTTTGACAGCGCCAGTTCAGGCACCTGCTTTTTGAACTGTGACTCATACAGCATCTCATCTCTGAGCGCACGCTCGCCAGGCCAAGAGACAAAGCGCAGCTTGATGAAATGACTCACGCGCCAAGTGACGGGAATGTTGAATTTGATGCAAGTAAGAGGTCAGCGGGGAGTGAAGGGCACGCTGTGCCCTCTGCGAGATACAGAGCAACTCGGTGGTGGAGCCTGGGGACCATAAGCTGCAGACACGGAGGAAAACACATGTGTAATTCAACCAGCAGCTTACTGGCTGTCTTGCCTCTGCATCTCACCCACAACCGACCTTGTCGTGAGCCTGCTCGTGTTTTGACATGACCTATGTAGGTGCTACCACGGTGCAAAGCAGCTAAGGAGAAGCTGGCTGGCTTCATCAAGTTGAGTTCCAGTACCTAAAGGGGCCTACAAGAAAGCTGGAGAGGGACTTTCGACAAGGACGTGTAGTGACAGGACAAGGGGCAATGGCTTTAAACTGAAA